TATCCCAGTGACTCAGGACACCGGTCAGGCACTACCTGCCCATTTTCCAGCTGCCCAAGAGATATTTGTGCTCTGCCCCACAACCCATGTTGGGGCTGGCAGCCTGAGCAGCGCTCCCAGGCTGTGGGCACGGCTCGGCAGCCCCCTAAATAGGGCCAGGGCAGCATCCATCCCCCAGCTGGCTCTCAACCAGGCACTGGCTGCCGTCACCGACTCCAGCAGGAGAGAAGAGGAGGGAAAGGAGGGAAGAAAGGTCACGGGAACCGGAGCAACCCCATTTCCTGCCCGAGCCCACGTTTCATCTGCGTGGTGAGCCCCAGCCCGATCCTTCCTCCAGCGCCCTTTACCTGCGTGCACAGACTCCAGGTTCACCATCCTGCTGGTGGAGGGAAATCCACGGTGCGCCCAGCCTCCTGCCGTCAGCCCCAGGTTGCCAGGGGCTGCCAGTTTGCCCTCCCTCCTCTGCCACCCGCTGCCTCTCAAACCGGCCGTGGGTCCGCTCCCCAAGGGACCTAGAGCTCCATTGCCTGTTGCCATGCAGGGCCAGGTGAGCATGCGGCGCCGCGCCACGCCTCGCCCCACCTCCGGCTCCCTCGGGTGCCCTGACACCCAGCAGCCTGGCGCCCGGCCCATGCAAAAGCACCCATTTGCATATTAGTAACTCGGGAATGGATGAGTCCCTGCAGCGCTACCAGGGTGTGGGGTGGGGTGGGAAGGAGGGAGGAAGGAGGCGCTTCGCCCGCCCGCACCGCCTCGGATGCGCCCCGCAGCACCTGCCCGCCGGGCAGCCGGAGAGGGGCTTCGTGGGGGCTTCGTGGGGGCTTCGTGGGGGCTTCGTGGGGGCTTCGTGGGGCTTTGTAGGGGCTCTGACACCAGCCCCAAAGCCGTCTGGTGAGGGGAAGGAGGCTGCTGGCTCTGTCCTTTGCAGCTGGGAGAGGCATGAAGCCATGCTGGGCAGCACCCAGCGGGGAAGGTGGCAGAGAAGCCCCCCGCGAGGCAGCCCTTTCATGTTTTTTCTGATAAATTTTGGGCTCTGCTTGGGTTGAGCTCATGAGTGTGGCCTGCACGGCGTGGTCTTTGGCTGCTGTGGGGCTGGGCTGAACGTGAGGGGTGCCATATGAAGAGCTCAGCACGGGGCAGAGAGGTGCCCTGCTGCTGCTGAAGGCACAGGGTCAGCACCCAGGGACTCCTTTTGCCTCAGCTGTGCCAAGACAGCACCCCAGAAAAGTAATGGAGGGGCAAACAGCCTCCTCCTCCTCTTCCTCCTCCTCCTCCTCCTTCTCCTCCTCCTCCTCCTCCTCCTCCGCCATCTTGGTTGAAGCTGCAGGATCCAGCCCACTTCCAGGGAAAGCAGGGAGCAAAATCCCCTACAGCTGCCTTGTGCTGCGGGCAGGCCAGGCCCTTGGCCTGCTCCCCGCGCTGTGACAGGGACAAGCGGTCACCCTGACAGGTCTGGGTGCCATATTTGCCGCCTGGGTGCCCCTCCACCATGCCCAGGGTGGTGGGGAGCACTGCGTGAAGCTCCTGCAGCCCTGCTCAACCCCCTCCTGAAAGTGTTAACACGCTCAATTGGTAGCTGCCAGGTACAAGCTATCGCACATTCATCTCTCCCTGGCTAATTCACGTTCCAGGGCTCTCGGCTTTCCCACATGCTGCTCTCCCTCCCTGGAAAGACAGGTTTCTCTGAGGAGATGGGTGGGCGGGCAGGCAGGCTCCCCGGGCCTCAGCTCCAACCCAGCCTGGTGCTGCGGGGCCGGAGGGCCCGCGGGAGAGGGGAGCAGGCAGCAAGGATGTGTTAAAAAAGAATTAAAAAAAAAAAAAAAAAAAAGGAAATTTGGGGAAAGGGGGAAGCAAAAAGGAGGCTCCCGGGTCTGAGGATGGAGGAACTAAAGGGGGAGCGCTACGGGCTGCGCTCAGAGCGGCTCCAGGAAGCAGGGAGGTGACACGGGGTGGCTGGCGCAGACACCTCGTCCTGTCCCCAGCTGCTGGAGGGGCTGGACTGCTGCCACCGCTCCGTGGCAGAGCCCCAGCCATTCAGACCCGCTCCCCAGGGCGTTCCTGGGCCGCTGCTGCTCTTTTTTCCCCTGCTGCCAGCCTGACCCCCATGGCTGGGTTTTCCCCGCGGCGAGGGCTGACGCGCCCGGGTGGCCGCACTGCGTCAGACATGGATTTACTGGTGGCACCTCGCCAGCTTGAAGAGCCTCCAAGGGGCAGGAGAAAGGCTCTGTAAGGGCTGGGGGGGAGCCATGAGCGTGCTCCTTCCACCCCCAAAAAAGCACATCTCACACACCAGCTGGCGGCTCCCCTTGCTGCAGCTCTTTTCCCTCTGCTCCCTGTTGCTTTGTTGTATTATTATCCGTATTATTATTTTTCCCAGACCCCAGCAACACGTCCCCGAGCCCCAGGTTGTCCCCTTTGGGGTGCTGGCAGGTGTCATTGTGCATCCTAAGATGCTATCCCGGCCATAGGCAGGCCCGCAGTGCCCTCTCCTGGCCCTACAGACACCGCCGGCTGCAGCCAGGAACCCTCCAGCTGCTTCTGGCTTTTATTTTGTGGTCAGAGAAAAAGAAAAATAAAAAATATATATAATAAAAAAATGCTTTTCTCATTAAACTACCTGAGACAACTCTGCAGTGAGCAGAGGGGCAAAAGAGAGGCAGGACCACAGCACCATCAGGCCTGTCTGCTGAGGGAATAAGACCACCTTCCCCAGGCAAAGGCAGCTTTATTTTAACTTTGTCCTGAAATTATTATTCCTGGAAGCCAGCAGATATGCTGCTGCTAGAAATCAACTGCTCTTTTGATTATTTTCCCCATGGTCATCAGTGACTGACCCATCTGCTCTCACCCTAAGCACGTGTATGTGCTCCTCCACTCGTGCTGCCAGTGTTCATTCCTCTCTTGGAGGAAGGCAGGCTCTGCAGATAGCAATTGATTTCTGCAGCGTGGATGGGTCTGAAAGCACAGACTGCAGAAAGATGTTACAAAATCCTCTCCTGCTTTTCCTAATAGCGAGGATTTATAGCAGTGCTCCCGGCCAACTGCGACTTCTCTGTGCCAGGCACTGCTCCTGTCTCCACCTGCAGCAGCTGCTCTTCAGGGGTGTTATTTATATCAAGAAGAAGAATTTTTCTTTGGAAAGGCAATTGCACTGCACTGCAGTTCTCTTCTTGCAGGACGGGGAGATCGCGAGCTCTCACAAGGACCAAGACTGCAATTTGGGGCATGAAGCCCCCAGGCTTTAGGGACGTGCCCTGGTTTCTCAGCTCCCCTCAGACCCAGAGCACAAATCCAGCAGCAGCAATCGAGTTTTGCTCTGCACGTACTGTCTGTTGTTATGGAATTCACGTCCTTCACTTACTTGGCCTGGGTAAGAGCTCCCATGACACAGCACCGGCCCCAGAAACGCCCAACAACCTGCACTGCTGAGCACGGGTCTGGCTCATATCAGGCTCCTCGGTCACCCTACAGAGAGAGGATCTGGTCTGGCAGTGCCTCCCTGAGGTGCCCCTGGCCAAAAGAGGTGGAGAATAGCTGAGATATCTCTTAAGGGCTGCCTTTCTTCCTTCATTCTGCATATCCAGCAGCCTCCCTGTGCATGATCCCAGCACCCCAGAGCCTCACTGTTAAAAATAATCAGTCAGCTCTCTGGGATGTGACCAAGAGGCTCCCAGACAGAGCTCGTGCCCACTCCTAACAACCCTGTGCAGGAGGTAGAGGTGGGAACAGGGCTTGAGCAGGTTGCAGCTTTCCTGCTATCCTCTCCCTTTTTTCCCCACAACTGGATTTAACTCCAGCAAGCAGGGGCAGCCTGCCAGCACCAAACCCCTGTAAATGTTGACCACGTAAGTGGAGCAGCAGCAATCCCAGTAAGCTGCTCCAGTGCAGAAGGGCCAAGGTTGCAGACACCTTCATCCCTCACCACACTAGGGGGAATCAGCACTCCATGCTTCTCCTGCGATCCACCACTGAGCTGGGAGCTCTGAACCAGCCCCAGGCTCTGCCACCCTCATCTCCCCTCAGCTGTAGAGGAATAAACAGATTATTTGATGCTGCTGGTCCCAGAAAACTCCCCAGCCATACCACACACACCCCTGGGACCCCCCTGACCCCAGCCTGCCTGACCCTTGCAGCAGTTTCTGTCCCCATCACTGCTCTTTTGCTTCCCCAGAGCTCCCAGTTACACAAGGGACTGGATGGCTGGTACCCTTGCAATACAGGACCGTGCTGAGTAGTGCTCATGCAGGATGCGCCCCCTCCAGCCCCAAGGTCTCCACCACCCAAGGCACAAACTTGGCACCCAGCAGAGAGCAATTCCCAACCCCAATTCCAGAGATTATGAGAGAGGCTTTTAGACCAGGCATGCTTTAAAAAAAAAAAAAAAAGTTTATTTTTACCTTACAAATGATAAATAATTTGTTTTTTTAAAAAAATCATTCAAGTGTGTTTTACTTCATGTTGCAATATTAAAATACCTTTCCCTTCTCCCCCCCCCTTAACTGATCAATACAAAAATAATCGTGACCAAATTCATTTTTGTCAAAAATTCCTGGATTCTAGGCAAAAAGGCACATTGTGAAGGCTTTTCATCAGGAGGAACGGGGGCTCGCAATGACCCCAACAGCCTCTTTCCCCTCTCTGCTTGTTCTAAACTTGAGTGGAAGACGGCTTGGGACGCAGGCAGCACTCCTACAGCACTTTTTGTCTGATGTCCTCCAGGTACACACCAGGGCCAGGGTCAGCTTCAAGGTCGTCCCTGCTTTACATTTAGGGGAAACCAAGGCACAGCAAAGCAGTCCAGTTAACTAAGAGCTTCTTGTGAATAGCTGGCAGAGTAGGACGTAAAAGTGGATGTAGGTGTAGGACGTTATCTTCCTCCAAACGACGGTTGCAATGCCCATCTGGGATCATCCCCCCTTGCAACCACAAGGTTACGATGGCAGTCACAAATCTCCAGATGTCTCTTTCCTAGCAGGAGAGTCCCAGAACCAACACAAAAAGTTGGCCTTCACTAGTCTAAATAGGGATAAGTTCGAGCCCTAATTAGCAGCCCTTTGGGGCAGAAGTAATTGCTGGGCTATATCCCCCCAGGGCATCTCGTAGCCACGGGAAGGACACACCAGCTAGGCAGACACTAAAAAAAGCTACAGGCAGGCTCTGTTTTTGGGTGGGATTCGTACCTTCCTTGTTCAGGGGATGTGGTCCCATAACTCAGCCATATTCCCATCGGGAAATGCTGTCGTGTCACCAGGAGGTGGCGAAGTCCGTGGTGATGTCTGACACCCCAAGGACTGCTCCTCTCCCTGCCCTGGCCACCCTTCAGGATGCTGGAGGCTGAAAACTGGCCAGAAGTGCCCCCCTTTACACCCCCCACCCCCAGAGCAGGGAAGAACAGAGCCCTTCTGGTGCTTCAGCCCCAAAACTTGCGGCTCCTGCTTGCGGCTTCACCACGCAGCGAGCCGAGCCCGCTTATCCCAGTACAAGGTATGGGGTCAGGAGGGAGCCACGGGGGGGGCAGAAGGAAAGGCACACACAGAGCAATCCTGGCACAAGGCACCGCTGTGAACCACGTTCCTTCTTCGCAGCAGGATGCTGCGGGAGGCCCTCAGCATCGCGAGCGGTGGCAGGAGGCAGCTGAGCCTGGCTCTGCTAGGTCTCCTCGTCCCAGAGGCAGAGCTGCTTCTGCGGCACGTAGTAATCGAAGGTGTAGCCCTTCTGGCAGCTGCGGATGCCGCATTTGTAGGAAGAGACCTTGCCCGTGGCGTCGCGGCTCCTGCAGTACTTGAGCATGCAGGGGTACCACTCGATGCTCAGCGAGTAGCTGCAGATGCAGGGCTTCCAGCGGTCCGCGCACAGCCTGCAGCGCTGCAGGTCCGGCAGGTCGGATGTCTGCGGCAGGACCTCGAACATGGAGCCGTCCACCCCTGCGGGAGGAAGCAAATCCTGCTCAGGGAGGTGCTGGAAGGAGAGGGGAGGTGCAGAGCCAGCGCCGTGCTAGGTGCAACCAGCCCAAAAATGTTTTCAGGGGGTGGTGGGGCACGCGGCTGGGTAGGGAACCCTGGGAGAGGAAAGGGCATTAGGGGAAACAGGCCAGGAGGTATCAAGAATGCAAAGAATTCATTCTTTTGGGTGAGGGACCAGGTGAAAGATTGCCTTGGAAATGCTGCCTAGGTAGGTTCAGGAGGAGGGTGACACCAACAAGGTCAGATATAAGCTGAAGAACCAATGACCACGGCATGGCATGCCAGCAAGCAGTGCCCACGCCTTGCCCACGGCACAGACAGCAAACAAAAAGCTGAAATGTTCTCTGCAGGTCACCAGGGAGAGCACAGCAGCACCCCAGCTCGCTGACACAAGCAGTTCTACCCGAACCACAGGAAACTTTTACCTTTCTCCAGCCAAAATTTGACATCGTCCTCTCGCGTGTAAATCGCTTCTTTGGCCTCTGCGCAGACGTTGTGGATGTGGGAGCTGAGCTGCGCCCCTTTGCTGAAGTTGACGGCTACATCCATGCTGAGGTGCTCCAGGCCCCGCACCTCCTCAGCCTGCCGCACTGTCCTGGGGTTTTTCTGCAAAGGAAAAAAAAAAAAGAAAAATAAAGAAAACCACAAATCACCCCTTGGAGCATGTCAGGATTTCACACCGACATCGGAAGATGTGCAAGTGGACGCTCCCTCTGAGCGCATCCCATCTGGATGGGAGGTGTACAAAACCTCTGGGTGATGTTGGACGTGATGGTTTATTGCTGCTCCCATTTGCCTGGGATCATTTATCAATGCTCTGTCGTGATGGATGGTGCCAGTAATTAATTCACTGGACAATGTCGGGCAGGAGCTTGCCTGGTGATTACTCAAAGCATCTGCTTGCCCTTTGATTCAGGCTGAACTCAATCATGCTCCCTTCATGTTTATTAGCAGATCAGGATCAATACTATTACTGAAATTAGTTTAATGCCGAGCTCCTCAAGCAGGAGGGGAGGTCAAAGGCAGGTCTATCAGCCAGGCAAGCCACGAGGCAGCTGTATGGGAAGGTTTTCCAGGCAGCTCCAAAAAACCCCGGTGGGTTTGGGGCACGGGGCTGCCTCCTACCTGCCGCAGCTTCGCCATGGACTCGCTGGGGATGATCTCGTTGCGGTGAAGTCGGGTGACAAAGCAAAGTGCTTGGAACTGGCTCTGGCCCCTCTCCAGCTCCCCTAGGATTAAGGCACGGAAGATCTTCACCTCCTGGCAGAGGGAGAATTAAAAAAAAAAAAAAAAAATCGCCGTTAGTCCCAGGCCTTTGGCATCGTTTGGAGAGTTGAGAAGTCAGGGTCTTGCAGAAAGGCTCCAGCCAAAAGAACAAAGTCAAAGGTCTCATATTTCTGCTCCCTGAGCACAGGTGGCTTCTCCCAGGTCCCATCCCTCCCCAGCCTGCAGCGTAACAACTGCTGTAAGGGTTTTCGCAATCCCACCGGGGCAGGGACAGGTCGCTGCCAGCTCCCATCCCACATCCCTGCCTCCCTCAGCCAGCAGGCTGGGGCTTTTTCGAGGCTTTTGTCCTTGAACACAAGGAGAGGTGAGCCTCCCAGGAGTCTTGTCCTCTCCCAGGAGGAGATGCTCACCTTCAGATTGACCGCTTGGGGTTCTCCCGCTATCAAGAGAGGATATCACATAGCCACACGCTGCTCAAGGCTATTTCTTTTGCCCTTCAGCCTGGAAAAGCCCCAAAGGCTCTCCCCAACCCCAGAGGCAGGGCTACTGCTGGAGTTAAACAAGCCAATTGCTGCTTCCAGTTTATGCAACGTGGCCTCTCCTGCTACTGGTGTGCGAGCAGAAGGCAAAGGGGAAAGGGCAAGAGGAAGCACAAGCGTGGGCAGGAAGGCACGGGGGTGAGCATGAAATGGGTGAAAGGACAAGAAACAGTCCAAAAATCCCACTGCACAGCAGCACCAGGACTACTGGGACTGGGTGGCTGGAGGATTTTCTCCTACAGCAGCAGGACAGGGACCTGAACCTCCGTAACCATATCCCCATCACGCCACGCACTGAGGGAGGCCCATTTTTTCCCCCCAGGTCGCAATCTTTTCGAGCTGTAACTGAAGCCCCCTGGGGGCAGCTGGTCACAGCTTCCATCTGCTGCCACCAACTAAAAATATCCCGAGTCTTCGTTACAGCAAAGGTCCTCCTTTCACCGACGAGCTAATAACAAGCTGAGATTGAGCACAGCCCAAACCTCTTTTGGTTAAATGAATATCACATAGCTGTTATCTCCATGCATTACTGGGGGCGAGAAGTCCCGATCTGCCTCTGCTGCCTTCCCTCACTTGCTTCTGAGCAATTTGGTGTCCTGGAGGAGGAATTACTCCCTGTCCACACAAGAAAAGGATGCACAACTCGGTGCACATCTGGACAGCTGTAATCTGGGATGGTCGCAGGACAGGGGAAAGGATTTTGCTGGGTGCCTTTGTTGTATGCACCAAAAACTCAAGCACAAAAACAGGACATGAAGGGGATTCGGAAAAATGGATACCAATTGCTTTTGCCCACAAACATGAGGGTTTCTTAATCACTGCCTTTAGTGCTCTGGTTTGACTGACACCTCTGTGTAGACATGGGAAACATCTGAAAGTGCAGCATCGCCTGGGAGGCATCACCAGCAGCTCAAAGCTGCTGCGTTCTCCCGGGTCTTAAAAGAGCATCTGAAGGCATTTATAAAAAACACAAAGGGAAACAAAAATAATATGAGAAAAGAGAAGCTAAGCTTTTTCAAATGGCTAGGGTTACGGCTGGAACAGTACAACAGCAGGGGGACGGAGAAGAAAGCAACATTTCCCAAACTTCCCACCAACCAAGAAAAATCCAGGATGAAGTTTCCAGAGAAACGCATGTGATGTTATGACTCAATCATGATTCTTGCCTGCTTTAATGGGGACAGTTCCCACTGAGCCCCTGGCACCACTGAAGGAGCCACGTTCCCATCTGTGCTTAGTCCAGCTGCCTCCCAGCTGAGCTCTGCTGCGAGCTCCTGCCTGGTCCAAGAAGACTGAAACCAGCAGCTCACCCTGGCACATCCTCCACATGTGGATTTCATCTCAATTCACTCTGAACCCGTCTGGAAAAAGCAAATGGGGACAGCAAACCTCAAGGAGATGCAGGAGATTAACAACAGCGCAGCGCTTCCCAGCTTGGAAGCGACTTTTGCAACACGAGAACACGCCGAGCAACCCATGAATCCTTCCGACGTGTGGGTCCAAGAGCTAGACATCAGTCACCCAACTGCCTCTCGTTGTCACGATAGGTTTGGGATCTGCACCACTCTCCCTGCGAGCGGTCCTGAAGCTCCCAAGCGATGCGTGCGACTGCAAGTCCTTGGCTCTGGCTCCAAAGCCCAGCACCCGGCTGCTGCGAGCTCCAGGGTCCCGAGCTCAGGAGGGAGGCAGGACCAAGCTCAGGACCACAACAGTCCACCCGTGGAGCAAACGAGGAGCTCTCAGGCATCAATACAAGCCTCTGCTCCCTCCTCCAGCCCCAGGCAGGCAGCAGGAGCAGGGTGGAAGCACCACAAGCACCCGCACAGCACCACAGTGCCTCCAGCCCCAGCCAGCGAGCAGCCCAGGGCTGCCGCTCAGCTATTCTAAATATTTATCTGCCTGCCTGTGTGTGCTTACTGATTTATGGGCCAACAGGTCCACGGAACCTCGGGTAAAGATCCCTGCAAAAACTGCCCTGAAAGAGCCCCTTGGAAAGGGAGGGGAGGAGGGAGAGAAAGGGAAAGGTGGTGCTGCAGCGGGGTACAGCTGGAGGAGAAGGGAGCAGGGGGTAAAACTGTAAAGATCAACAGGAACCGGAGGGGGAGCAGTGCCCGTGACCCATCCTTTCCTCCCCCCAGGCAGCAGGCTCGCCCCTTGGTGCCGAACCAAGGCGGCTCTGCGCCTGGCTGCCCCTAGATCAAACAGCAAGGCCAGATCCTTATCTACACGAACCCTGTTGCCCCGAGCCGCCACCATCAAAGCTGCAATCCCACGCACGCCAGGCTCAGGACACCAGGGAGGGGGCATTTCTTCTCCTCCCTGTGTCCCCAGGGCTTTTGGCCACCTCTGTCCTCCAGCAGCTCTGTTCAAAGGGCTCCCTGGGAACACAGCGACGCTGCGAGAGGGCTCCTGGGGTCGAGCTGAGCTTGCTGGACACCTTCAGTCCCTTTATTCCCATCATTTTTGGGGTCTCTATAAAGTCAGGAAGGGCTCCTAAGGCACGTGTTGTTCTGATGAGAGAAATCCCACCTTTACCCGGCTCCAAACAAACCCAAACTGATCCTCCCTGTGGATCCCTGAGCAAAGCTAACCATATTCTGGGAGTCTCGTGCCCTGCAGGGGCCACTTTCTCCTGACCAAGCGGTCAGCCCCCCTCTTCTCTCCAGGTCCTGCCTCACCTCCCTCTCTCAAACCCGTGCCCAGCTTCCCTGCTCTCTCTTCCCTGGCTACACAACACCAGTTGGAGCAAGAACCGAAGCTCCTCACACCAAAAACATGCCACGCTTCTCACCTGGAAAGAGCCACCGAAGTTTTTTGTGCTTGGAGAGCGCCCTCCCCTCCCTTCCCCAGGCACCTCACCGGTTCCCACCAGGAAGAGCGGGATCAGCCGGTGCCAAGGCAGCGAAACGCACCTCCAATTCTGGGTTTCTGCAAAATTTCCCAGCAGGGAACAAGCCCCGACAGAGCATCGCCTTGCAACGCGGGGACTCTCCGGATGAACTCATCCCGGGGGCGGTGAGAATCCTTGGCCCTGACCCGCGCTGCTGTGCTGGGTACGGTTACAGCTCAGGTCTGGGGCTGGCCACAGCGCTGGCGGGGCAGGGAACAGGCAGTTCTGGGGCCATATCCTTGCCGTGCCATGGGAGGGAACCACAACCTTGGCTCCTGGGGCATGGGGAGAAAGGAAATCCGTGCAGCCAGCTCCCACCAGCCTGGGTTGCCTGTATGAAACTCCAGCACAGAACCAGGCTGCGTGGAGGCATGGAGAAATCAGTTTTCTCTCCCCATTCTCAGCCAGCCCCCTGGGGGCTGCCGTCTGGGGTGCAGGAACAACCCAGCCTCCATCTCGGGGCTGGATCCCGTGCAGCCCTACAAGCCTGTGTGGTCCAGAGCCGAGCCCGGCGCCTCGGCTTCACGCGGCGTGGAGCGAACCCGTTCCCAGGGAAATAAATTATTTCGGTGCCTCCCTCCCTCCGACCCAGGCAGCATTCCTGCCAAACTTCTCTCCCCCCGAGGAGCTCAGCGCTGCCGTGGGACCTGCTTTTGTCTTTGCTGTCCACGTCTGAGCAGGATGGGGGGGGTACAAGGAAAGGGAAGCTGGGGACATTGGGGACCCCCAGAGCCAGGTCCCAGCCGTGCCAGCAGCCTCTGCTGTGGCCGTGGCCCTGCCTGCACTCCCCCGGGGAGCAGCTGGAGCTGGCTGGGAAGTTGTTTTGCTTGTACAGCACAGAGCATGTGTTATTGCATCCTCGCTGGGGGGCCAGCCGGCTGACTTACCCGCACTCGGAGGGGATTATGCTTTTTAACCCCTCTCCTACCAGAAAAAGCCTCATTCCTACCAGCGCCTGGAAGAACATCCCCTAGTGAAGCATCCTCACGCTCAGCACCTACAAATTGAGGGATGCCAACGAGTAAATCCCAGAGCTGCTTCCCAAACCGGGTCCTGCCCCGTGAGCGACCTGCCCAAAGCCATGGCATGAGCACAGGGCAGCCCTGGCAGCAGGCAGAGCTCAGCCTCCTGTATTTTACAGCCACCATCTCCTCCACGTGCTTCCCTGCGCCCCCTGGTCATTTAGCACTTAACACAATTAATCCCTGGCACGAGGAAAGCCTCCACACCCCCTGACTATCACAGAACTCCAGCTTTATTAACAAAGGACCCCAAAAGGACTGGCGATGCAAGCATTACAATACCAGCAGCCACTTCCAACGCATTTTTTCCAGCAACCAGAAGGAAAAAAGAAACTTTTCTCCATCTGTGTGCTGACCTTGGGCTAGAACCGCCCACTTCGTTCTCAGGCCGCTGTTTAACAACTGGCAAGATCACGTTATTGGAATCAGACTCAACATTTAGGGTTGATCCACCCCCTCGATCCTTTTTACAGAAGTTTTGTCCCTGACGGTGCCACGTAGACAAAGAAGGGTTTTCATTGCGCCCATTCGGATCGCCTGGGAAGAAATAGTTCAAAAACCCAGAAAACAGCAAGGCCCAGTTTGGAGCCCCAAAGGCCAGTCTGCGGTGGTCTAGGGAATGAAATAAAGGCTGGTGTGCTCTGAGGACACTGCTCCTCCAGGTTCAGCTCTGGATGGGAGGCAGGGATGGAGGAGAAAGGAGAACTGTGCCCCTGGAGCACTGCTCAGCTTCCACCAGGGTCAGGAGGGAGAACTGAGCCATGAGCTCACTGTAACTCCTCTCCTCTCCAGCCCACGGTCTAACAGCAACTCTTTGTCAGCAAAGAATTAAAAAAAAAAATAGATCTGCCTTTGGACTAACCCCCTGCAGTTTAAGCCAGAGGAGTGGAAAAATCATTTGTGCAGAAAGCCAGCATCCTGGCCACAGCATGACCACACAATCTTGCTTGGGAAACCCAGATCAACAACCCCAGCTGCTTTCACAAAGGCTGAGAGCCTCCAGACCTTCTCTCTGGAGGGGAGAAGTTGTGTAACGTTGGAGAGCCGAGCAGCAGGGCAGGGAAATGCCTGCGTGCAGCCAGGAGAACAGGTCAGAGGGGGAAGCCTGGCCAGGCAGCTGCTTGCTCACATCATTACTCACTGCACCACAAATCCATCTCCTCGGTCCCTTCTGTCTCTGGCTTTCTTCAGCTCTGCTCCAGCAAAGCCACGAGCAGACAGGCAGCACCCAACTGCTGGAAAACTGAAGGTTAGGAGCAGATTTTGGGAGGCTGATGCTTGCAAGCCTTCCAGGGACCGTCTCCTGTGTGCTCCCAGGAGCTGAGGGCTTGCATGGAGCTGAGCATTCAACATAAATGAGACAGAAACCTTCAGAGAACCTGCCCAGAAGCAGCTCAGCTGAAAGCAGGATGAGAGCAGGACAAGAGCTACCACACGCTGTTGGGTTTGGGGATGAGATTTGACAGCAACCCCGTGCAAGAGCTGAAATTAGCAGGGGAAAAAAGTTGGAGGGATGAACAGGACACCTAAATCCCCCACGTCACATCCCAAAGGGCCCACCCAGAAGGTCTGCACAGAGCTGGGATTTCCCTTGCTCGGGAACACACCGTGCAGCTTTGCACTCCTGAGGTTTAAAAGCCTCCTGGGGTGCGGTGTCTCCTCGGAGCCCCGTGCTCCCCCAGGAGCCGTGGCACTGGTTCCCTGCGTGCGTGCTGGCACAGAGCACACCATCACACCCCGAAATGCCACGGCTTCTGCGAGCATCTCAAGGCATCTCGGGCCTTGCTCCCTCCAGATGGCCAAGGGCAATCCAAGAGCCTCACGAGGAAACCAGGACCAAAACTCGCAGTGGGAAGGGGAAGAGCCAGCCGAACACGCCTGGGAGAGGGCTCCAAGGTTCACAGCAGGACGGGGCACACCACGGTCCTACCTCATGGGGCTGAGCTTCCTCCTGCCATGAACCAAAGTCCACCCAGCAAACAGCCTGAGCAGAGGGCTGGAACGAGATAACGTGGCCGTGCCACCCACGCAGCAGCTCACAGCTCATCCCCAAGCAAGAGAAATGAAAATTCACCGCATCCAGCCAGGCTGGGGGTGCTCTGAAGGACGCCACGCTGGCCCCAAAGCTCCCATCTCCTGCTGAGAAGCAGGGGGTCTCAGCATCACCTCCCTGCAGAGTGGCCTGGGAGGGGGCCAGGAGGACCCCTGGGTTTCTGCCAGTCCCAGAGCGAGCTGCCACCCAAACAGTGCCCACACCCCAAATGCACGTGCTCCCCAAAGCCATCACTTGGAACGAGATGTCCTGGAGGCACAGCAGAGCCCCATGAACCTGAGCCTCAGCTCCTGGGGACTCCTGCCCTGGCCCCGCTGCTGTCTGCCACCCAAACCCACATCTCCTCTCGGCTCAGTGAGGAGACACAGCCCTGCTGCGCTCAGCCGGGCACGGAGAAGGCTTTGCCACCCATCCTGCCAAAACCCTTCCCCACCACGCTCACCAGCGGGCAGCCCAGCTTGCAGCAGTGCCACAGGGGGCCAGGAACCTGCCCAAATGCCCAGGAGCTGCCTGCGGGGTGCACCACAAAGACCCCAACAGTGCTCATCGGTGGAAGGACTTCTGAAGGACCCCATCCTCAGCCACAGCTCGGGCTCCCGGACCCCCAGCAGGGTTTCCCCAGGCTCCAGGCAGATCCCGGCTCCCCAAAACCCTCCTGCACAGCATCACCCCACCAAGTGAGCACCAGGCTCCTGCCCCAAGCTTCTTCTTCACCACCCCAAGGCTCAAAGCGCCCAGCCCCTTGCACCCGTCTCCCAGCTGGGACCCACCGGAGACCCCCCCCCAGCACCAAACCCCAGCGGGGGCTCCCCAGCACCCAGGGGATGCTCGGGGCGCTCCGCTCCACCGCGGGGCGAGCTCAGCATCCCGGGGCCGCCCTGCGGCTTTCCCCCGGAGCCTCACCTGTCTGAAATCGGCCGTGAGGGTGATGAGGGCGCCGTCGGCCTTGCGGAGCTCCAGGCTGATGCAGTCGGAGCCGCTGTCGGCTTGCAGGCTCTCCTCCGCCACCTGCCCCCCGGGCAGCCGCACCCGCACCCGCAGCTCAGCCTTAGCCGCGGGGCCGGGAGAGCCGGGCAGCGGGGCTAACGCTAGCCACAGCAGGGCTGGAAGCGCAGGTAGCCGGGGGGCGAGCATCCCCCCCCCCCCTTTGCTCCCCGGAGCCCCGCACCGTTACCCCCGGCGGGGCGCGCACGGCTCGGGGCAGCCCCCGGCCCGCATGGGGCGGGGGGCGCGGAGCGCAGCGTGGGAAAAGCGCCCCGCCGCGCCCCCCCCGGCCATGCAGAGCCCTCGGCCGCTGCTTTTCGGGCCCCCCCCCGGCCCACACTTCCTTCCCCCAAAGGCAAGGACCGGCCCTAAAGAGGCAGCGGCGCGCCGCCCCGCCTTTAAAGGGCCAGGCCGGGCCCGCAGCTGCTCCCCAGCTGCGGAGGGGAGGAGGGGAGCGAGGAATAATAATGGGAAAAAAAAAAAAGGAGAGAGGCAGAGCTCGCCCGAGGGCGAGAAAAAAAATAAGCTGGCCCAAGCAGCCGCCCTGCAGTGAGCCCCGGTGCTCTGGGTGGCAGGAGGATGGAGGGGGGGCTGCTCCAGCAGGAGCCGGGCAGCTTTTGGGCTCTCCTGCACTTTTTTTTTTATTATTATTATTGTTTTCTACTCCATGGGATAAATAATTATCCCCAAAGTGCAGTTGGAAAGGAGAGGTCAGCGTTAATAACAAAGCCCAGCGCTCCTGTTTGCACAAACACACACAAATCAGAGTCCTCTAAACATGCGGTTGTTGGGAATCAAACAACATTTACATGATTGCTCGGGCTCACGCTGCACGCAGGAGGCTCACAGGGCTGCTCTCAGGCACACCGGAGGTATTCCTGCCCCCGAGGATGTCGTGCAAGCCACTTCGGGCCCTCCTTGTCCCCTCTCTCCCAGCCACGCAGACCTGGGGCACTTCAGACTCCGCAGCCCAGCCACAAGGCTCCAGATTTGCCCTTCACCCGCCCACTCCTGCAATCGCTTCCAGATGGGCAGATGCTTGTGAAGGGCCCCTTTGATTTCAAAAGGTCTCCCTGCAAACACAAAGGTCACTGTGGCAGCAGGATTAGGGCCTCAGAGAAAGAGCTTTGCAAGGAGAAGCACGGAAATGTCTAGGAGCGACCATTTAAATCCACGCTTCCAGGAGAAGAGATCACTTTTGTCCAAGTAACTATTTTATGGGACCTTGCACAAGTTAAGTTTTAGACTGAAAATGTAAGAAAATGTAAGGGCTTTCTCACAAACTATACCCTCCAGATGCTTTTCAGGACAATAGCAGGGCCAAGAAATCAGAGCAGGCAAGGAGAGAAAGTTAAGAGGTGCAAACGGGAGGAAAGAAACGATTCGGCTCTGCCACAGAAAGAGAGGGAGGGCCCACAAGGTAGAAACGTACACCCACCAGCTCCTCCTGACAAAAGCTGCCCAGAAGGCCCCACTCACGGTCTATTTATTCAGAGGAGATTATGCAAAAAGACAGGAGGACCCCAGCAGGGGCTGGAAGGAAGAGTGCCACGAGGTTAGCGCGCACAAATAACCCTTGGAGAGCTTCCAGCCAAAGGGCTGCGCTCCTTGCCCAGCTCAAATCTGGGATCAGCTTCCCCATCACCATGGGGTTACCCCGGGTCCAGCACCTCACCACTGAGCCCCCAGAACTGGAGCACAGCGTGGTCCTGGGTCTGTTTTGGAGGACAAAGGGAGGTGAGTGAGGTTACAGCCTCTGCTCCCTGCACAGCCACAGCAACACGCTCCTGGCTGCAGGCATCAGCAGTGCCCACTGCATACCAGGACCCTAGGGTGCAATAAGTGATTTAGGGCCATCCTTGCCTGGATTGGAGTGAGGGGTATCATTTTTATCTCCTGGTACCTCCCAGAGGGAAGGAAATCAGAAAGGGGACTGCCCCAGAGGGCTCTTTCCAAGGCTGAGCACATCACCAGAAACCCTAGCCCTGCAGATGGCAATTTGACCAAGGCACAACCGATCCTTGACTCTTGGAATAAAGATCCAATCCCAGCCCCAAAATGAATGGGCAGAGACAAGAAATATCAGGGGGTGGGGAACCAAAACACTGGCATTAGGAAGTCAGAGCAGAAAAGTTACCAAGGAACAGAGGAGAGGAGAAATACTGCTCTGCTGGGATTAAAAAACTGCTGTTGAAGGGACAGACACCTTGGGTCACATCCCAGGAAGGGATGTTTGGGCACATTAGCGGGGGCTGGAGAATTACTGGCCGTGAAGGGCAGCTGGAGAAGAGGAAGCACAGCTTTGGGACAAGCCTGAGTGACCAAACCGATTCCTCGCTGGTGTCAGCTTCTTCTACCTTTGCTGTTTATACATCTGCTAAAATGGAGCAGCTCTTCAACCTCTTCTCCCAGCTATCGGGAAGGAAACTGCCTGCTGGTTCAGTGCCCCCACGGCAGGAGCAGTTGCTGAGCTGCATATAGTTTTACTGAATGTTAATGATCTCGTCGCTGGTATGCGTGCGTGTGCTGCCGCCCTTTTTACTGGGAGGAAATTTCCATTAAAATACCTCAGCCATGCTTGAGAACGAGGTTAAGGAAAAATATGCTGGTAAAAGAAAATGTTCTCCGCTGCACTTTGTTGTGAAGCTCCAGCAGGGCAGTGCGTGGGAGCAGGGGATTAGCTCGACACGGGGCTCGCCTCGGTGCCTCGGATGCATCCTTCGTCATCCCTGTGGAAAACCACTAATATCTGGCCAGGCTGCAAGTCTTCATTCCCTCTTCCTCACCTCAAAACTTCATTTACAGCCCAGTGTCACGCCAGCACCGTGGAAAACTGGGGAGGGAGTTGTGCGCACTGAGAGCTGGACTGCAGAAGCTGAGAACCTCAGCAGGCAGGGGGGAAAATAGAAGTAGAAAGTGTGAGAAGTCCTCCAGCATCCCACCTCGGGCTCTGTGGGCAAGCTGCTTGCAAGAGCCCTGCCTGCACCCCATGCAAATTTACCAGCTGAATGGAAATGTTTGCTGCCACCCTGTCTTCACCACTTGCCACCCACTTGGTGCTGAGCTGGATGAGGTATAAACACCTGCAGCATCCTCTCCTGTTCCAGGAATACACCTGCCCTGTCCCTCGCCCCACACACAATGCAATTTTCCCTCCCTTAGCCCAAAATCAGGCTGCTGCAACCACCTCCTGCGCACTTCAGGGTATTTCTTGCCCTGTTCCCCAAAACAGGAGCATTTAAGACCAAGGAAAATGAAGGTCCTTGCTGTTTCACCCCAACATGAGTAAGCTGCCAGTACTCCAGAGCCCATTAGCATCTGAAGTTCACCCTCCCATGGAGGAGAGAGCAATAATTATTTGCTACTTTCTCATCAGCTTACAGTAAGGCTCTGCGGCCAGTTTCCTTATTACAAGCACGAAACCAAGATACTTAACGCACCGCAACAACAGCACCAGCAATACATCAAAGAGCGGGGATGTTTGTTGTGAATGAGCCACTTATTCTGAGAAACAACCTCGGGAAGGCAGCGGGGAGCTGGGCACTGGGAAGAACAGCTCGCCAGGGACTGTATCCATCACCTTCAGAGGGGCGAGAGGCAGAGCTGTGGCCTCCTGTCCTCATCTACAGGCTGGCAGGGGTAAAGGGGCTCTGTGGGTGCCAGGAGGGGTGCAAGGGGCTGGTGCAGATGCAGCACCAAGCCTCCTGCAGGTCCCCCAGCTCCCTGCTGCTGGGAAACAAGCCTGGTCACTGCCCGCGGGGTTCCCCTCAGCCTGCTGAATCAGCAGCCACAGCGGTTCCCAGGAAGCTTTCCCTCCTCCACGTAACCTCCCTGCCTCTTCAGAAGGCTCCTTCTTCACCTTTCAAGGTTATCTTTGCCTCTAGTACCATGCATGGTGTGGAGCAGAAGCTCATGGGCAATGAAACAGCGGGGGAAGGCACAGCTCCAGCTGCAGCACCCACAGAAAGTCCAGGGCATACCTTGCTGCTGGGACCTCTGCCCTGCCTCCAGAGCCCTGCTAGAGCTCAGACCCCATTCCCCAGCCCCTACTTGAGCCCCACAGCAGGTCCAACCACGCCTGTCCCTCTTACATCTGATATATTGACCAGTGTCCTCAGCATCCCCTGTCTTTGCCTCAATTTCCCACCCTCACCTGGTGACACGGGGCTGTGCCAGCTGTCCCTGCTCTGCTCACATCACCATGCAGGGAGGAGATGCTGCCTTGTCCCACTCCAGCTGCTCAGAAAAGGGCAGGGAACCTGGGTCTGAGCTTAAATGGAGCTGGGGGAGCAGTGGGAAGCATGGGGAAGGCCTGGGGAAGCTCGTTAGGGCAATTAGTGCCTGCTGGAGTGCTCAGGACCCATGCTGCCCAGAGTCCTTTCCAATCCAGAGCTCAAACGAAGCACTGATGTGATTTATTCGGCTGTGTGTAAGGAACTGTGCATTGCTCTGGTGGAGGAGATGGATGGAGCTGGCATCAGAGCTGCTGCACACACCTCTGCACAGCCTTCCCATGGTCCTGGGGCCACGCGCTTCTCCGGGAGCTTCCCCCAGCCCTGCAGTCCTCCCTGCAGTGCTTTCAGCAGGGAAAACACCGCAGAGTTAGCTCATCTGTGTGCCTGCAAAGCTCAGCAGAAGCCCGTGAAACATCCTGGTGCTGCAGCCCTCAGCAGGCTGCTAACCCTGCGAGCACATCCCGACAGCCTCCCAGCCTCCGCCGGGCAGCCTGCCTGTGGCTTACCAGGCTTTCCATCCCCTGCCCTGGCCTCATCAGGTTTATTTCCCTTGCTGGACCGAGCTGTGCGCACACACTGAGAGCCAGGCAGAGTTTTTCTTGCAGCACTCTGGCTGGCTGCTTGCGCAGACAGGGATCAGGAGAGCAAAAAGGCAAGGGAGGAAGAACAGGCTCGTGGTTGTGCTCCGAAAACCCACCCAGCCGTGCTCCAGAAGAGCCTGGGAGATCTCAGCTTTCCAAATGAAAACCAACCAAGCACGAGCTTTTGCTGCCTGTTCAGTCCCCGAGTTTCTCAGCCTCCACGTGCTGGTGTTAATTTCTACTAAAAGCGGTGTAACTGAGGTCAGGGATCCGACCCAAACTCTCTGCCTTGATCTATTTAATCTTCCATCCTTCGTTTTCATTTCCATGCCAAACTCTACTTTTAAAGATACATGAAAGAATCACCAGTGCTTTTTGAAGTGTTCAATCAGGGCAACTCTTTTTGGGGATGTGAACACATAAAAGTCAGCTTTATTCTGTTGTTCCCAGCACCACAGCACTAACAGACCTCAGGGAGAGTTAGCTGGATTTTTTTACCCTCCCAATCCCCTAAATTCAGCCAAATTTTTGACTAAATCCCAGCTACAACTGGGACTATTCCTACAGACCTATGGCTTGGTTTGAAGCTCCGGGAAAGGATTTGTAGCGGTGGTGTTCAATGGGGATCTTGCTGTTACAGAGGTGAATCAGGCTCCGAGTCATTTTTTGTTAATTAAGAGCTCCTCCGCATCCCTTTGGGGTGTTCCCTGCTGCCCCCCCTTAATGCCCTCCTTTTCTCAGCAATTACATGAAGCTGGCTTCTCCGTGGTGTTTATAAACAGCTTTACTGTCTTAAAACAATACCCAGCATCTTCTATCCTTTTTTTTTTTATCCATCTTCCAACCTGTTTTTCGCCCCATTCTCTGCCCTGGGCAATTAAAAGGCTGAGGCGTACGGCAGCCTGGGCGTAATTAAATGAAAGGGGCCCAGTGGCAGAGCACGGGGAAGGCAGCAGCGTGCTCAGACCTCTGCAGCCAAGGCCTGGGATGCAGCCTCTCCTCCAGAGATGCCGATGGCCTGATTAGCTGCACGTTAATTGGGATACCACGCTCGTTTATGCAGAGGTCGGCTGCGGCTGCAGGGAGGATGAGAGGCAGAGGGTGGGGAAGAGCAGTTGGGGAGGGGGCAGGGGGCTTCTGCCCCGTTCCTGCTGGTGGATTCATGGAGAGTTACATCACCCTGGGGTAAAAAAGCAGGATTTTGTGCTCCTTGTGGGTCGGCCCTTGCGCTGAAGATTTGGACCAGCTGCCCTTTTGGTCCAGAATTTGCTCCTAAAGAGTCAAATTCAGCTCCCTTCAGCATTTCATGGGGTAACCGGGAGGGCAGCTGCGTGCGCCTTGCTCCTGCTCCAGCCTTTTTCTGTCCCGCTCGTGCAAACTCCGCCGCTTCCCCTCACATCTGGATTCAACTACCAAACAAGAGGCTTTCTGTAACACATTCCTCGCCTCCCTCGCTGCTTTGTGCCTCACGGGGCTTGTCCTGTTCACAGGGGGAGTGAAAACAAAGAGGAAGGGATGGGATAATAAGATAGGTGACCGGGCAGATTGCTCTGCTGCTGGCAGGTATCTCCCATGGCCAGGCCCCCAGAGCTGCAGCTGGATGAGTGCTGCATCTCTTTTAATACTGTTTTTAATCCTCTTTTAATACTTTTTTTTGGACACGCAGTAAGCACCGGGGTCTTGCTGTGTTTTGGGCAAGAAGAGATTCAGGAGGTTGGTTTTGTCCCTGAGACCCCTGGGCGCATCCCCCCCTGCCAACTGAGTGCTGATGGCTGGGAAACTTCACAAAAATTGACTCCCATCAGCTCAGGCCCTCAGTGGGTTTAGAGACAAACCTGGATAAGTCCTGGGAGCAGAGGTCCACCATCCTGCCCTGCGACAGAGCCCCACATTGCTGGAAAGCAGCCGAATATCCCACTGCGAGCATCTGAACCAGCAGCCCCCAGGGATGTCCACTGACCCTGCTCAGCCAGAGGTCGGCTTTTGCTCCGAAGCATGTGGATTTGGAGCCCTTCCAGCTGATTTCTTCTGCTGATGTGGTCAGAGCTGGGTGGAAACACAAAGCCAGGTCCTCGGGGGCTGTTCGGGGGAAGAGCAGCTCAAGGGAGCGCTGCTGCTGCCCTCCTGCTGGGAATTTCATGTTCTGAAACAGAAACGTGCAGAAGGAAATGGTATTGCTCTTTCAACACCCAGTTTCTTCTTGATTAGGGCACTTGGGGGGAGGGAAAACCCAGCTTGGAGCCCACATCCCCCCAGTGGAGGCTGCTCCTGCAGCTGGGAGAGTCCTGGTCTGCTGCCGTGCTGGGAGAGGATGCTCAGCTTCGTGTGATGGGGGCGTTTAGGGCAGGAAAGGAAGGGAACGAAATGGCATCTCAGCCACTGGACTCTCCCTGGTTTCTCTACGCAATCCGGTTAGTGAGATCTCCACTACAGTCAAGCCGGTGCCAACTTGGAAGAGGCTAATTTAGACAATTTACATCAGCACAATTTATGCTGGAACCATCCCAGTGGAAACTGGGGGGGATGGGGGATGGAAGCACTGGTGGTGAGCTCTTGCTTCATATATCTAACTGGGACACTGACCAAAGTCCTGGTAAAACAACGCCGGTGTGGAGTTAAGCAATACCCTTTAAAACAAAAAAAGGATGCAAATCTCCTATGCAAGACAAGCCTAGTAAAAGAGATATTATAAATCTAAGAGAAGCCCTCAAAGTCTAAAGGGATATAAATCTAATTAAAGCGATATAAATCTAACTGAAGAAATACACTGTAAATCCAGCCAGAATGATATCCATCTCGGGAAAGTAATGCAAATGCACTAGAAACACCATAAATAAAATCAAAGCAACATATAGGATGTAATGGAAGCAGCGTGAAAACTAAATCAAGTGATATAAATATAAGAGAGTGATATAAAACTAATTAAAGTGATTTATAAAATGGACATTTGGAAAAGAATCACGGCGCACAAAAGATGTGAATAGTTGGAGAAAGGACCGGGACGGGTTTATGAGCGAGGAAAACACCTGCAGCTACAAAGAACAAACCAAGGTTAATTAGGCACGGTGCTCTGGGGCAATCTGCAGTCGCAGACGGGGTCAGGGAAACTGCTCTTTGAGCACAGCCCCGAGCCACAGCCGCTTCTGGCTCACGGCGTGCGGCTGGCAGGAGGGCAAAATTGGGGGAGCTCGCAGAGGGCAAGAGTAAGGCGGTGAGGATAAAGCCAGCGCTGCTCGGGGGAGCCCCAGGGGCCCCCAGCCCCAGGTTCTGGGGATGGTTGGTGTCCCGGTGCAGCAGGGATGGAGGGATTTGGGGGATGGAGGGATTTGGGGGATGCTCGGCTGAGCAGGAGCTCGTGGGAATGTGCCTAATCCCTGCACGGCTGAGCGCGCTCGCCCGACGCTGTGGGGCCTGACGCAGCAATGCTGGCCGGGGGCTCAGAGCCACGTTTCGGGGCGGCTCAAAGAGATCTGAATCAATCAGAATTTTTATTTTTTTTTCCCATCATTTTTTTCCATTTAAACCTTTCTTCTATACGGTAAGGAAAGAAAATGACATATCCGGGGGATTTTTTCCCCTCCAGTTATGAGCAGCGAACGCCTCCCCCCTCTTTCGCCTCCCAGATCGAAAAGGCAAAACTGCCCCAAATCTGCATTTGCAGAGGGAGGCAGTGGTTAATATTTCTCTCTTAAACTGGAAAAATCTGGTTGGCTGTTTCCATTTTCATCCACACTTTCACATAAAATAAATTCCTAAGGAGCTTTTGGTTTTCATTTAAGCGATTTCATAATTGACCTAATACGACCACAATGCAAATAAATAATAAGGCTGCTGCTGGTCTTCGGAAAAAAAATCAATTTCAGAAAACAGACCCGCTCACAATTCTGTCTTCCTCTGGCTAAAAGAAAACACTTTTTCATAGCATTCTGAATAATAAAATGTCCTCAGCTCAGCTTTACAGTTGAGCTTTTCCCTTTCAATCTTATTCCAAAGCAAAGTGCCATATGTTTTATGCTTCGGATCTCAGAATTTTATCATGCTTGAAAGTCATTTGGCACTGGAGCATCTGCAGTGGTCTGAATTTCATTTTTTTTCCAGAGTAAAGCGAAATATCTATTTTGTGGAAACTTGCTAAAAAGCAGCCCCCCTACCCCCACCCCCCCAAACCCCAGCAATCTAGGTTAGAAATCAGCCTGGAGGGAAATGCAAATATTTTTCTTGCAGATTTAGCTGGAAACGTTTCCTGTGCTTTCCTGGAACGTTAATGCAAAATTAGGCAGTTTGTTGGATTGGAGGGCCCACTGAACCAAATAGCTTTAAAAAAAAATTTAAAAAAAGGAGAAAAAAAAAAAAAAAAAAGCAACAGGCTGACTGAAAGGACCATTCACATCCTCTGTGGACAGATGCCCTGCATTTTGTGTCACCTAATCTTACGTGGCCTTAAAGCTCTTTGGAAAGAGACTTTATGTAAACGTCTCAGCAAAGCCATGCGGGGGTTTAACCGTGGGATCAGCCTGAAACTGGGCTCACCAGCTGGGGCTGGGCAGGGCAGTGACCCAACAGGCTCACCGCCGTCATGGGGTGCCTCCACCGAAACCTCCCTGCCTGGGTTTTGGGGTGGAGGAGGTGGGCGGGTGTTCGGCATCCCCAAAACTCAAGGCTGATGCAGCCCAAGGGGGATGGAATGAAATGAGATGGGGAAAAAAAATTTAAAAAAAAATATTTATTTATTTAAAAAGGTCCCGGTGTCCCCGCAGGCAGGGAGGTGGCGGCAGGCCAGGGGATGATCTGTTCCTCATCGAGGTCATCCTGCAGCTCGCTGCTGATGTGGCGTTCGGCGGCTGGAGCAGAGAAGAAAAAAAAAAATCTTCCCCTCCTTGCCTGGCCTCGGTTCCAGGGCTCCCCGGGGGGGGCTGATAACAAAGCATGAGATGCACGAGGCCAGCAGAGGAAACCCAACTCTTCCAGGTAACCCTCTGCACCGCCCCGTCCTGCCCCCAGCTCCCGGACCCGTGGCCAAGAGCTGCGGCATCTCACCGGCTGGGCACGTGGCCAGGGAGCTGAGGATTATTTTCCTTCTCCCTCCTCAGGCTTTCCAAGGGCCTTTTTCTTTTCTGCTCTGTCCCCAGTCACTTCAGACAAGAGGCTTTCCCCTCCTGGTGCCGTTGGCTCCCCTTCCCCGTGGAGCTGCTGTGTCATTTTAATGACCCAGCTTTATTGAGCGCAGCTGCCGCTTCCAGGCGGTTTCTCGGATTCTGGTGAAAAATCACAGCTGGCTGAGAGTTTCCTGTTGCTCTGCCTCCCCCCTGGCAGCCCCCCTAAAGAGGAGGAGGTGGGGGAAGCAGCAGTGCAAGAGCCTTCGGAGCTGGGGAGTTTTTGTCTTCCCTCCCGTGCCCTTCTTCTGCCTGCCCTGCGCCACGTGGGAGAAACCAGCGGCACCTTTTGGGATGCTGCCTGTTCCCAAAGCCCTCCCTCACCCAAAGAGCTGGGATCTGAATCTCTGATACCCCAAAATCTGAAAGGATTCGGCTCCAGCAGTAACTCTACGATGTCCCTTTTGGTCCTGCTGGGGGGTAAATCCCGAATTCATCCTATTTCATAATCCTTCATGGCAGCAGGGTGGCGTGAAGGAAAACCAAAAGACAGAGCTGGGAAGCCCCCTTTTTATTGCCCAGGGCACTGTGGCACGAAGCTCAGAGCTTGGTGAAGGACCAAACCTGATATTGGGCAGCCTGCGAGCCACTGAGAGTGCCAACCCTACGAGGATCCATCACACATTGCCGCAGGAGGTCTGCAGCCCCAAATCTCTTCGCTTCCCAGCTCTTGGGGCAGAAGTGCAAGAGAAAGAGGATCCGGGACTGGCACGGAGCCACAGTGGGGTCGGGGCAGCCTCGTCCGTATCAGGGAGAGACGAGATGCCTTCAGCTCGAGATAAGAGGAGCTGGGGCCGGCGGGGGGGCGGCGGGGCCGGCGCTGTGCGGGGCTGGTGGCGCACGTCCTGTACCCAGAGGGATGCTCACAGGGGCTCTGTGCCCTGCTGGCTGGCTCAGGGAAGGTTTTTGCAGCAGGGGGGTGAATTGGCAGGGAAAGTTGCCCCCCCAGGGATGCCGAGCAGCTCTGTGATGTCCGGGGACCAGGAAGCTGAGGCTGGGGATTTCCCTTATCCTGACCCAAATCTGTTCCCAAACACAGGCCCAGCTGTACCAGGAGGTGAGGGCTGACCCCTGCTCCCCCCTCCAGGAAGCTGCCCCCCAGTTTATGATTTACAGCCCCTGGTACGTGCACGGCGGCTGCTATGTGCTCATCACAGCTGAGGACAGGGCTGGGGGAGGTGGTGGGGGTGCGGGGCTGAATTCCCCTGCCTGGGTAGGAAGGGAAGAGGCGCAGACAGCCGCTGAGTCAGCGTGGGGTCAGCAGGGTGAGGCCGGGCAGGCTCCCATTCCCCAGCAACTGGTTTCCAGCTGGAGCCTCTCCTCTCCTCTCCTCTCCCCTCCCGGCACGGCCCCTGGCACAGGACGGGGTGTGCGAGGGGAGCCAGCTGAGCCCTTCGCCTCCCTCTTTTTCCCCGCAGCCTTCGCCGAAGCCCTTCCCCGCAATCACGTGGCCGACGTGGCTGCGTTTCAAGGGACAAAGTGCAGGAGTTTCTCATTAACAGGGAAGGAAAGCTGCCTGCTGCGGCCCAGCTGGAGGGAGAAGGAGCCCTGCGGGGGGAGAAGGGGGCAGGAGAGGAACCCAAGCAGCCACAGCCACCCCAAAACCCTGCACCGAGAGCCCTGAGCCTTGGGGTGCACCCCACGAAGCCCCAGACATGGCACGGGGCAGAGAGAGGAGCTGGTTCTGCTCCTCAGCTCCCCAAACCCCTCAGGGGACCACAGCTGCGATGACCCTGACTGCAGCTAACGCCCAGCAAAACCCCTCCGGACCCAAAGCATCCGTCTGGGGCTTCCTTCCCCTGCCCGGCCACCTGCAGCCCATCCCCGGGGGGGGAGCAGGAAGGGTTTTGCCTTCCCCGGGGTTGTTCTGGTGCAGGGCACCCGACCCAGAGGAAGAGCAGGAGGAAGGGAAGTGGCTGCTGCCGTGTTTACAGCTCCCCTTACTACCTCCCTCCCCCCCAAAAAAAAAGAAACTGAGATTTGATTTCCCTCAGGCAGCTCTCAGAGAAATTACCCGGCATTCAAAGGAAAAGGCGCTTTTTTTTTTTTTTTTTTTGCTTTTTTTTTTTTTTTCTTTTTCCCACCTACAGACTTGGCTGCAAAGCCAGCCTCTCGCTCTAGGAGAGGAGAAAACCCCACATTGTTAGCCAGAGCCCACTGGTGCTAAACAGGGAATAAAGGGTCCTTTATCTGGGGCTGGGTGCCTAGGCTGGGGGGCAAGGCAAGGCTGGGAAGGTCAAGGTGCTGGAAAAAGGGGTCCTGGGGAGGGAGGAGAGGCTGATGGGTGGCACTGGGTGGCACTCGCAGGGCAGAGGGGCGACTATTTAGGGTGAAGTGAAAGGTGCTGCTTTCCTCTCGCCCCCAGCACACGTTAACTCTCCAGGTCTTTTATGCTGCAAACTCATCTAAACCAAGCGCCGACCTGCTGCAGCCTCCTCTCCCCAGGGAACGTTGCAGGGAGCAGAGCCAGCCCTGGGCTTTCTCCCTCTGCTTTCCCCCAGGAGAAGTGGTGGCGTGGGCCAGCGTGGCACCCTGGGCCCTTCCCACCTCCTGGCGGGACCTCTTGTTGCGGGTGAAGGGCAGGTTGCAAGAGACAAAGCCCCAATCCCATTGCCATGGCGATGTTAATTCAAGCTGAGTTCAAAGGAAATTGTTCCAGCTCCAGCTAACAAGGCTGGCAGGAAAACCCGCTGTCAGCTGAAAGAGGCCAGCATCTCGGAAAAGGGGCAGGGAGGTGGGGTCAGCAAGAGGGGGCTGTGTTCAAAACACAACCCCAAACACACCCGGACCCGTTCCTGCCTTCACGCACAGCCTCTCCGGGACCAAATCCCAGCGAAGCAAAACAGCAGAAGGTCCCGAGCAAGGAAGCAGCAAACACAGCAAGGAGGGGAGCCCTGGCACTGGTGGCACAGCCCCTGCCACCCGTCCTGGTGCCAGGAGCATCAAACACACGTGTGGCACCCAGCACCTTGCTCCTGCAGCCACAAGGCACGGGGAGGGCAGGGCAGAGAAGGGAGATCCAGCTGGAGCTGGTGACTGAAGGCATTCGGGTTTTTATATGCTGCTCTTTCAGGCTTTTGTGGAAGCATTGCTTTTGGGGTAATGATTAATCCTGCTGGTGAGACAGAGAGAGTGCAGGGCCCTGCTGGGACACTTTGAACCTGATTTCCCCCGAATCAGGAGAGATTTCCCCCAAATCAGGAAAATAAAAGTTTTCTCTCCCTTTCTCTTATCTTTTTCTCTCCTCTTTTCACGCCTTCCCCTCTCCTGCCACCTCTCCCTGCCCTCCTCCCGTGGCTGCTCTGCAACGTGCTCGGGCACGAGGAAAGTAAGGAAAAGGGGAAGGACAGACTCGGGTTACTGCGAGCTTTTAGGGCAGCGAGAGAGCGAGCAGGGAAGCGGAGGAGGCAGCCCCGAGTGTGCTGCAGTCAGAAAGCATCGGCGCTTCTCGGAAGCCTCCTCCTCCGGCAGCAGGAGGGGATCTGACACAGTCACCCTAGGAGAAACCCTACTGGGTGCTCCCTTCCTGGAAAGAGCTCGAGCTTCACCCCCTGGAGCAAGCTAGAGGCTGTTTTGTTTTTTTTTTTTCAGCATCCATCTAGAAGTTGAGTCATCTCAGGAAAGAAAAACAAGTGGTTCATCCGAGGTGGCCGCGGAGCAGTTTGTTTCTCATCCGCAGGCTCCCTTCACACATCTTGCTCCCAAAGTCGTCCCTGACACCCCGCTGAGGATGAGTTAGCAGCTCTGTGCTCAGCTAGGCTAACCTCTCCCCTCCCCTTTTCCAAACGTAGGCATGAAATTGGGTCTCTGGTGCCATGGAGGTGCTGAGATGAGGCAGACTTGTCAGAAATCCCGGTGAAGGATCTGTGATTCCCTCCACGCAGCCTCAACCAGGGGGCAGAAGGTATTTCCCTACACCCCCAACAAAACAAGCTTTTAATTTCATTCCTACCAGGAACTTGGCAATTTTCTCCTCGATACCCTTGCCTTCACTTGCCCCGCGTTTAGCCCCATTTTCCCATTAATGAGTCCTTCCAAGGCGATATTTAGACATGCCTCAATCTCTACCCCTCACTGACTGCAGAGCATCACCATTTCTTCCTCCCTTGCTCACCCCTTTTGTTCTGCACCCGAAGAACTTGGGGCCGGCCGTTTTAATGCCCACGGTGGGATTACTCATCCGGCTTTTACCAGCCCCGTTTATTCCTCCACACGCCGACCTCTGAGCTGCTGCCTTCTCTGCTGACCTGGCCTGTTTCTACATCCCTTGCAGGCATCCTGCTGCCAGCATCCCTTTGAGGTGGTTTCGCAGCTAGCTGCAACTGGAAACCTCCCGGGGAAGGTTCTCCCTGCCCCCACACCTCTCACCCATTTTCGACTTTGCTTTTTTTTTTTTTTTTTTTTTTTTGGGGGGGGGGGCTTTGAAAAATCGCAAGCCTCTCTGAGCTCCCAAGTCCAGTTTTCATTCCTGTGGATTTCCCTCAGTCAACAAAGATTTGCCTAGTTGAAACCAAGAGCCCGATTTGCAGGCTTTGTTTGCCTTTCCATTTCACATTAATTGAATTAGCAGCTAATCTCCGAATCCAAGGTTGCTTTCTCAGAACTGTGCCCTCACCGTTTATCTAAATCCAGTCCTGGGGAACCTTTCCTCACAGGTTCGGGGAACGCTGGTGAAGAAATCCACCCCCTGCCCCATGCCAGAATATTCCCTACAGTTATTGGTGACCTTGGTTTGGTGTGCTGAGTCAGAGTCTTTCACTTCCTAAGTCCCAACTCACTTTCTCAACCTGTGTCAGGTAATAATTGTTGCAGGACCCCGTCCATGTCCCACCTTGACCCCAAAAACCTCCAGCACAGCCCCCTCATGATGCCAGGCTCCCCTACTGACCTTAAGCCCACTAGATTTGTTTTATGATGTGTCAAGACTTGGAGGACTCTCCCTGTGAGCTCCGTGCTGTCTCTACCTGCAGGGAATTGTGCTTTCAGAACTCGTCTCCGAGCGAAGTTTCTGCACACCTCATCCCAGGCAGAGGTTGCACGGCGTGGTGCAACACATCCTCTGCCTGGAAAGCAAGGCACGCTGCGAGAGGTGATGAAATGCAGTTCCCTGAACGAGGGCTCCACTGAAATCAGGGTTCAGCACGGAGTGGGCAAGGCTTTGCCTTTGCTTTCCTTCCCCCAGCCCCAAAAACAGAGTGAAAAAGCAAAGGGCTACGCTTGGATTGCAGTTCCTCTGAAACCTTGCTGTTAGTTGTAGCAAGGGCAGCTGCCAGATATCTCAGTGCAAAGGGCTGGACACAGGGCAATAGTACAAGGCATGCCATGCACGGGTACCATGCTCTGATGCGTCACAGGGGTCACCATGGGGCACAAAAATTACCTCCGATTGTATTGCATCACCCCTGCAAAAAGAAACCAAGCGAAGCAATCGATGCAGAGCATCAGGGGGATTTTCTTTCC